CCAGGGCGCCCAGGGAGTCCCTGCTCGTCGTGCGTTGAAGGGTTGGGGCGGAGGGGGTTGGGGAATGCATCGGGCGCGCCAGCAGCAGCGGCATAAACCTGCTGCCGCCACTGGAACACAACAGCAATTGCATGGCAGTCCAGGTGCAGGGTGCTAGGGTGAAAGCACAGGCTGCGCGCACCAACGCGTGCTCTGACTAATGCACAAGCACAAGGCCGATCAACAACCTGCCAAGCCCACCAGAACGCCGCCCCCGCCCCCCGCGGGTCCGGCGCCGCACCTGTCGAGGTAGTTGGTGGGCTCGTCCATGACCAGGATGTGGGGCTGGTTCCAGGTGCAGGCCGCCAGCACCACCTTGACCTTCTGGCCGCCAGACAGCCCGCGCATGTGGGCGTGGGTGGCAAACTCGGCCTCCAGGCCCAGCAGGCCCAGGTGCTTCTCCACGTTGGCCTTGGTGAGGGGGCGCAGCATCAGGCCCTGGCGCGCGGCCTCCTTGGCGTCCAGCTCGTTCACCAGGCGCTCAAAGCCCATCTCCACAATGTCGTCGCGCGGCAGCCACGTCGCAGTGTCGGGGCCCTGGCCCTGCCTGGGGGGCGCGCAAAGGTGGGTGCAGGGAAAATTGGGAGACATCAGCAAGGTGGACTGCAAGTCAATATCAAGATTTGGGGTTTGAGATAATGGCAGGGGTGAGAAGCTATCAGCAAGCCGGGCCGCAAGCGGTTCACAACCTGCAGCATTTCACTTATGCACAGCAGCAGAACACCTGCCACTTTACTAGAAGGTCGACAGCCCGCTGATGGCCATGCCAAGAAACCAGCTGGGAAAACCATTCCAGCCCTCTTGCCGGGGCTCCCTCCGAAAGCTTCCTCGACAGCAGACCAGGCAAGTCCCCCCTTTAGACCAGGCCGCGCACCACTGGACCTCGTACTCGTAGTCCTTCTTGAGCTTGCGGCGCGACAGCAGCTTGTCCACCTTGAGCTTGATGCCGTCGATGACGTGGATCTTGTCGCGCGCGGCCTTGTCCTCGGCAGTCTCCTGGCGTGTCACCTTTTTCAGCGCCTCGCGGTCCTCACCCACGGCATAGCGCCACTGGGGGGAAGAGGTCGCGTGAGGGTGTGGGGTGGGGGTGTCAGGTGGTTGTATGAGTGTTGCCAAGGGTTATCGGCCACACATGGCCACAAGACCCAGATGTGCTACAACCGCCGCACCACCAGGGGAAGTGATTACACATGCAATTGCAATCAGCAGGGACTCGCGAGCACGCCGATGCCGGCCCCGCTATGTATGCAAACGTGTGCGGTCTTGCTTCCACCGGCATGCTGATGTGCCTCTCCCAAAACCAGGCACACAGTGACGTCCTTACGGGCGCACCACCCCTGCTTAATCACCTGGATGTACTCGTTGGGCGTCTTGTCGAGGTGCGACTCGATGTGGTGGAACGCTGCAGGGTACAACAAGGGGGGGGGGTGGATCATGGGGGTCAGAAGGTGCAGAAATGGTGTGAGGCAGTCAGCCCAGCAGGCCGCCTGCCGATCTATTGCGCCTGCATCCACTTGCTCACGCACACGCACACAAAACACCATGCACACAAACAAACGCGCACATACACACGCACATGCACACACACACATGCACACGCATGCCACGTGCACATACAAAACGCCCACACCCAAGCGTGCACCCCAACGCTCCCCACGCTCACCGTGCTGGGCAACGTAGGCGATGCGCAGGTTGGGGTGCTTCCAGCAGCTGCCCTCTGTGGGCTCGGTCTCGCCCGTGAGCACCTTGATCAGCGTGGACTTGCCCGCGCCGTTGGGGCCGACGCAGGCCACGCGGGACGACAGCGACACCTGGAGGGTGGCGCCGGTGAAGGTGGGGGTGTCCCTGGAGGGGTAGGTGAAGCCGACGTTGTGCATCTTGAGAATGGCCTTGTCCTTGGACTTGACGCCCTCCAGGAAGCCGGGCTCAGGCAGGCGCCACTCCTGCTCGGTGGCCTCCAGCTTGTAGTAGGACTGCGCCTCGGGCACGGCCGCCACAAAGGCCGTGAGGTTGCCCTTGTAGACCTTGAGCTTGCGGTTGGCGTAGTGGATGATGTCGGAGCACACGCGGTCGAGGAAGCCC